GCATACAAATAATTAAAAAAAATGCAGAAAAACACAAAAAAATATAATATACCAATTAATATCACAACTTTTCTAATAAATGTTAAATTAATAAAAATAAAATAAATGAAAAGATTCACAAAGCTCTTCTCATTGAGACATGTTTTTCATTTGCAATTTGTTTAACAAGTAAACCAAATTTTACTTAATGTAAAACATGTCTCGATGAGAAGAGCTTTTCTTTTCAGTTATTTTCTTTTTATTAATTTAATATTTATTAGAAAAGTTGTTGTGATATTAATTGGTGTATCATATTTTTTGTGTTTTTTCTGTTGTTTTTTTAATTATTTATATGCATTGAAGATTGGATCAGCACCCGAAAAATTTGACAATAAAGATCACTAAAATTGTTTAATTATTGGCTGGATGTCCAAGAACAGCTTTATCAAATATATTTTACTATAATATGTATTATTTTGATAATATATTTATCAGCCCATTCATCGAATTGAAAAAAAACAAATGAATTACATATTGCTAATTTTTTGTTATATGCTTCGATACTTTCAGCTACTCATTTCCTAATTATATTTAATTATATTATTCTATAGTATTAATGATAATTTTATTTTTCTGAAATGGTATGAATATTTTTGCAATAAAGTTTAGAAAAATGTCTCAACAATTTTTAATGTTGATTGTATAATTTCTTGTAATTAGTTTAGTTTAGTTTAGTTTGTTGAGTGATGGCTATCAAGTGTCGAAACGTATACATATTTCTTTTGAATATTCCTCCTTTTTAAATTTTATGAATTAGCTTTAGAGAAATATAAAGGATGAATTGGCTGAGAAATATAAATACGTTTTATTTTAATATTATACCTATTTGCACATTGCACTTTAAGAAATAATATCATTTGTGCAATATATTAAGAATTTTATATTTAAATTTTATAAAATTGATAACTTGAACTATGTATTAATTATATTAACATTAATAAAATAGAAAAATATGAAAGTTATCAACAACGACGAGTATTATTAGAGAGAAAAAAATATCATTAAAAACTGAACTTTTTTATGCTAAAAGAATATTTTTTATATTACATATAACAAAGTTAACTGTAGAATATTATAGAAAGATTTTTCATATTTTTTTTATTTAATTACACGATTGTGCTTTGAAATGCTTTCATTAATATTTTGAGTTAATTTAGTTTTGCTAATCCACTTAGATTTAATTAAAAATCAACAATTTGCAATTCAATGATGATTTTATTAGACATCGATACTTTTGATGCACTTTTTTGTTGATGTATTTAAAGTCATGACACACTTAATCTAAATTGGAACTAATTTGTTTCATATATACTCTTATTGTTAGTGAGCTAGATATAGTATGACGTTATTTAAATAATTCCCAATTTATTTTTTTGTAGAAAAACCATCAATTACTAAAGTTGCCATTAAAGAAAGTGAACCGGTATTCAAAAGGGACGGCAAGAAATGGATTATTGTGAGTATAAAAATTTAAATTCAAAGTATGGGTTTCTATTGCATTATTAAATTTATAAAATCTTGAGGCAAATCATAAATTGGGAGGTGAACTACTTAATTTTTTGGGAAGTGAACTATTTAAATTTTGGAAAAGATTTCTATGCCTTCTGTTTTTTTTTCAGCCTAGCTTTATTCTCAAATCGTCAGATAATTACAATTTATTAGTATTTTCAATTATTAATACTACATTGTTGCAATTTCTTTTGATACACTTATTCACAGCTATTCATTTTATCTGTAAGCTTTGATTTAATTAATTGAAGGAGTAAATTTTTATTAATTTTGAATCCAGATAAGCAATGTCATAATCATATCAATTAACAATATATATGATTATGACATTGCTAAAAAAAAAACACTTTTATTAGAACTTAATTGCTTATTCACATTTACTATAATATTTGACACATACAATAAGTAAATATGTACAAATGTATTTATATAAATATATTATTAATTTTAGGAACACCAAAAAAATAACTCTACACTCAAAGTTCAAGATGTCGAAATGAACAATGTTGTGTATATGTTCAAATGTGAAAACTCTACGCTGGTAGTTAATGGAAAACTGAACTCGATTGTGATGGATTCTTGCAAGAAGTGCTCCCTGGTCTTTGATAGTGTTGTATCAAGTTGCGAATTTGTTAATTGCCAAAGTGTAAAGATGCAGGTATGATGTATTTTCAAAATGATACCTTTTTTTACATACATTATTATTATTATTATTTACAAGTTTTATTTCAAACTTCAAATAGTTCAACATTAACTTTATGTATTTATCTTATATTTTATTTATATTTTAATTATATTATTTATTTATTGCCAATTTAGGTGGACTAAATTATCGAAATGGTTTTAAACTTAAATATTATCCACTGTTTAAACTTAAATCCACTGTTTAAACAAACTGCTTAATATTACAAATTAATAATTCCTATTACTTTTGGTAACCAAAAATTTATATTGATATATGCATAACAAATTATTTAAATAGTTGTATTATGAATAAACTAATAAAATTATGTATTTTTTTATCATTTATTAGTTTCGTTCTTAGATCAATGATATTTTTTTTAATTTTTTGCAGGTTCTAGGAACAGTTCCGACAATATCTATTGACAAAACTGATGGTTGCCAAATGTTCCTGGGATCTCAATCTGCAGACACTGTGCAGATTGTCAGTGCAAAATCCAGTGAGATGAATGTTGTTCTTCTAGATCATGTTTCAGATCGAGATGGAGACATGGTTTGTGTTCTAATGCTTTATTCACACACGCACACACACACACACACACATATATATATATATATATATATATATATATTATTTAAGTTTAAAAGTCGGGCGTTACATCAATAAAAAATAGTATGAAAGTTTTTAGAAGTTTATTTAAAACCCATGTCCGTGTTATCGAAACGTTTGTTTATGACCCTGTCATTATGCAATTGCAAAAACAACTCCTCAGCGAATCTTTTTTTAATTACGTTCTCTTCAGAATGTAAAATATTTGGGTTGAAAAAATTCATGTTATGATTTAGATTATTTATATGCTCGATTAACATAGTTTTGAATTGTTTGGTACTTTTAGAGGCATTTTTATGTTGATGAAGGCATTTATTTACTCAGGTTTTGACTAGTTTTTCCGATATAAAAAAATTCGCAATTCGAGTAATTAATCCGATATATTAAGATCCTGAGGCGGTCAGAATTAAACTTAGATTTAATTTGTGTAAAAATGGAACTAAGGGTTGTATCGCAATTGCACACCAACAAAAGGCCACACTGTTGAAACAGCTTTCTCCACGAAAACACCAGTATATGACTCGAAGTCTGAGCGGTTTTTATGGTCGGTGAAGTCGTTTTGTTTATTGAATAGGTAACTGCGTCTGTTATTTATTACGCAACTACCTTTTCAATAAACAAAACGACCTCACCGATCATAAAATCAGTTTAGACCTGGAGTCATACTGGTATCATTTGCCTACCGTGAATGAATCATTGGCACTCGACTCGAGTGTGACGCTCTTCCGTTGCATTTTTATAGATTTACACCCTACTCGCGCCTAAAAAAGTTTTACTTCAATAAACAATTTATAATTTAATACTTTATGGCTAAAAATAAGATAAAAAAGAATTTAAATCTCATATTAATGAGTGCACAAAATGTATAGTTTCATCAGGCATTAGAAATTGTCATTAGATTAATTCCACATGATAATTGAAAAGATGTTATTGTGCGGTTATAACGATTTTGTAATTGTAACGATTAATACAAAGATATTAATTGAATAATATTATTAATTTTTTGCTTTCCAGGTTGAGCTTCCAATTCCTGAACAATTCATTACGCTGATATCCGGAAAAACTTTAAAAACAACGCCAATCGAAAATCGCGGTTAACTATCGTAAAAATAACTATTTATATATGATTCGCCACATGAGAATATTGTGAGCGCGTATTAATTGAACTGTATTTATATTAATCATTTATAGGTTTATAAATGACAAATAATTATTGCATAATTACTAATTAAATTTTAAGGAAGTTTGTATGTATATGTCATTATACATATATAAATTATGCTTGTGTGTGGTTTTAAATACATTTTAATATTATAACATTTATTACATGAATAAAATTTTCTAGTAATTCAAGATTTTCATATATCAACTATTTGTAGGAGCAGAAACAGATATAGCACTTTTTTTTTAAATATTTATTTTTTTATTTATTTATATATATATATACATCATTTTCATATCTCAGTCAGGCAGAGGTGCCCGGTATGAGAGATTATGAAAACAGTTTTCATATTTTATATATATATATACATTTTATTTGAATATTTCATTAACATAATATCTATTATAATGAGATTACCTTTATATAACTCTTCACTCTTCTTTGTCTTCAATTTCCTTATAGTATTATGAACATTTTACATACATATCTGGGCTATATTCACATACAGTGGTACCCCGCCTTACGAGCGTCTCGTCATACGTGTTTTTCGAGATAGAACTGCCGAAGTTACGAAGTTATGTCATGTATTTGCTTGTGCAATGTGGGGCAAAGTTGAAGAGTTCGTGGATAAGAATTACCCCGAATATGATGCAGCTGATGGATCAGAGTTGTTTGACGAGACGTGTCTCGTTGCATTTTTGCAATACCATAATGAATTGAAAAAAAAAACTAGTTGGTATTGGTATTTTGTTTACACGAACTTTGCGACATGTGTAAATAATCGACTTAATCAATAAAAAATTATTAATTTATGAGTGATTAAAAGTATTCCGAGTGGATTTATTACATATAATTGAAATTGACTTTAATGGTTTAGTATGTTAATTAAGACTAAGTACTCTATCGTTATATCAAGTAAATCGTCTAATTTCAATTTTAACAAACGTCAAAAAAACTACTCATTTACTCAAACTTTGAATTTTTAAGATTAAACTACTTGTTGTAAGGCCGTAATATTTCAGTAAGTTTTATCACACCATGATATATATCGCCAAAAAATGTTCCATAAAAATCGGCTTATATTTATTTTTAACGGTTAATTATACCAGTAAACGGTTCGGTAGATTTTCACCTAAAACTAAGCAGTGTCAATCCCAGCTAATATCTTTCGAACAGTTTTTGATTTTTTTAAATCGAGTTGGTAGTATGGTACCAAAAAAAAAATCATAAAAATCGTCGAAAAAAATTTTTATAAAACTTTATTACAAGAAAACGGCCCGGTCGATCTTTACCAAAAACTAATCAGCATGATTCCCAACCAATATCTATAGAACGGTTTTTGAATTTTCAAAATCGATTCAGAATTGCGGGCTAAAATCGTCGCACAAAACTAACAAACGCTAGTCCTCATCGCGATACATCGAATGGCTTTTAAAATTTTGAAATCGGTCCAGCCGTTTTTGAGAAAACACCGATTTACGGCAAAAAAATTTTTCACACACACTCGCGAACACATATTTTTTCCAAAATTGGTCTCATTCGATTCAGAATGTCTTGAAACGTCGAGAAAACATAAAATTAGCGAATCGGATTTTTTGATGAAAACAACCTTCTCCTTCGGGAAGTTAATAATACTTATTTTATAGGTTTTTTTTTAGCTCAAAAACTAGTATGATAATTTAGTCATTTTTATTAAATAACTTAGTATGTTTTTGCATAATATGTGTTTGATCTTAGCAATAAATGTTTCATTTATTTTTATTATTAGTAAAAAAAACTGTGCTGGAACGAATTAATAGTATTTCAATGTATTTATATGGAAAAAAAATGCTTCAACATACGAATATTTCGACAAGCGATCGTGCTTGCGGAACGAATTAAGCTCGTAAGGCGGGGTATCACTGTATACTTTTAGGGAGATTTTATTTTTTTTATTATTTTTTATTTTATGTTAGCTAGATTTTTCCGCAGCTCCAAATATTAGAAAGATTTTAATGCTTTTTCCCAATTTTCACATACACATATTTCATAATAACTTTGAATTTACTTTATTACATAAAATTTGCATGAATTATTCAGAAATACATAGACGTTGAAGACGCAGAATTAAAAGATGATTTCTAAAACTATATTTTTGAGGTTGCTGATGTTAGTAAAATCCGCCACCATATTTGATATGATCTTATGATGTATTATTTTTGTTGATGTCCACCATACTATTAAATTATAGGAGGAATGCACAACAAATATTAAATTTTGAAATACACCCAGGCCTCGCTATACGGCCGCTCTTTATACGGCCTTTCGCTATAACGGCCCTCTTTAATTAAGGAACGTTTTCGATATACGGCCTAAAATGTTTTGCTATAACGGCTTTTTTAACTTCGCGTAGGGCAAGTTACAGTAATCGCAAAAAAATCGAAAATGAAAATGTTTATATATCTTTACGTTTCAAAGTTTCAAACGTTTTGGAAAAACTATAATATAAAGGATGCTGTTGAGAACATTAGTGAATCCTGGAAGAAATTGAAATCGACAACAATGAACCATGTTTGGAAAAAAAATATGGCCAGAATGTATAAAAAATACCGATGCAGAAGTTAATATCCTTCCTGAAGTTAGACAAAACATTTTGGATTTAGCACATTATCTCCGTTTTGAAGATTTAAACGAATCTGTTGTGCTGGATCTACTTGCAGCTGATAGGGAACCCCTTTCATATGAGGAACTCATTCAGTTGCAAGCAGAGCCGGCAATTGATGAAGATACAGAACCTGTTGTATCCAAACAGCTAACATCAAAAATCATGTCGAGCGCTTTTTCATATTTTGAACAAGGAATAAACATCCTCCTTGAAAACGATCCTGACGTCGAACGTAGCGCTAATGTCTCTCGAAGAATTAACTCAGCCATTAGCTGTTATAAATCACTAAAGGAAGAAATAGACAAGAAGGCAAGACAAACAACTTTAGACAAATTTTTCAAACCACCAGCGCAAAATGATGGTGACAGTGATCTGTAGGTTTTAGTTGTTTCATTTTTATTTAAAAATTATGGAATGTTTTTGAAGTTTTTTATTTTATGTAAAATTTATGTTCTTGTTAAATATGTTTATAATTTAAACAAAATAAAAAAATAAAATGCATTTTGGATGAAACCATATTATATATTTATTAAATTTGGAACCGATCCCATTGAATTTGTATGAATACGTATTAGAATAATTGATTCGTTATACGGCTTTTCGCTTTACGGCCAAGTTTTGCGGAACGTATCTAGGCCGTAAAGCGAGGCCCCAGTGTATATATTTAACCTATAATTATGTAATCGCCAATCGTTATTTTTGAAATTATTTGATATATTTTATTATTATAATATTTTAATGATTTTTTAATTTAATGCAGCAATGTCGGAAAAAATATATTTTCACTTGAAAACTAATATGCTATTAATATTTAAAAAAAACTGCTGCTTGAGGCTTCCGAGTTGGATTTCGTATCTGTAAACTTCTGGTTGGAAGAACATGGCTGTATCCACTAGGTCACAGTAAGGCCTCGAAGGTAATTAAAGTTAATATTAATCTTAAGAAAAGGTTCTGAAACTTAAAATTACCTTTTGAGATCATTTGTTTAGGGCAGTGATTCCCAACGTGGGGCGCCCGCCCCACCAGGTAACAATTTGTAAATTCAGGGGGGCAATTTGAAAATTTTGGTAATTAGAACGTAATGTAGTATGGTGTCGGCAACACATTAAACAAAAGATGCTTCTTAGATCTAACTAAGGCGTCCCGTTTTGGTCGGCACAGTCCTAGTTTTTAATGTTGCTTTCCTGGTGTCGGTGTTATGTTTTTTGTCCCGGGTTGACCAGACTTTTTAAAAAGCTTAGTTTGAATTTGAATTTTTCTCATTATTTTATAATGAAATTACAACTAGCCGTCATAAACTGAAAATGATATGTGCGATAAATTACTTATATAAAACTAAACATTATGAAAGAGAATATTGCGGAATGCAAAAATTATAAGGATCCATATAGCCCTTCACTAATTATTTTGAACTTTCATTTTCAAATTTATAAAAATTACCAAAAAATTAGGTAAACGAAGGTTCTGACTGCTTGGCACAACTGGCTTACGGTCAGGACAAGATTCATGCGCAAGAAAAGATATTTTTTACTTAATTAATTAATTGGTTATTGGTTAACAGAATTTTATACAAGACTTTAAAAGCGAGAAAACGTAAACAAAAAATACGACGTAAGTTTTTTAAGAAAATACTTTTTTGATTATAGTTGCGTGTGGTTTTTGTTTAGTGTTCGTTGAAAGATGGAAAATCAAAACAAAGATTTTTGCCATTTTGCATTTTTATTTCTGCAAAGGGAAAAACGATGACCCCAAAGGTGAGGTGCTATTTATGGTGTCGAAGCCTTATTGTATGGGGCGGCATAACGTTTTTAGAAACCTCAAAATGAGACGGGGCCCAAAAAAGGTTGGGAATCACTGGTTTAGGCTATTACCATATGGCTATTACCATATTGTATGATGACTTATACATAATATTATATTAAATTGTATAAACTAATGTTTTTTAATTGATTCTGCTACTTTTTAGATGTATAAATTTCCTTCGCAGAAGAATATTCAACATATTCAATATATTGAACTTATTTCAGAAGACTTCTTTTGATCTCTCATGATAATCGTATTATTTTATTATGCAAATGAGAGTGAAAATATGTTGATATTATCATAATAATTAGAAAGCTGTATTTTTCCGATGATAACAATTTCTTCTTGTTCTTTCTGGTACATAAAGTATATTGATAAAGAGTTGGCCAAGGTTCGGATCGAACCAAGGGACTAATTTGTGCTGAGTCATGTTCTTAATCATTACACCTCTACAAGCTCAAAAACAGGTAAAATAACATTCTACCACGATAAATTTATTCTAAATTTATTTTTTTTTGTTTTTACATAATTTGAACTAATCAGAAATCGATATCAGTGAAGCAAGATGTAAAAGGTCTGGCTCATCGTTATCAAAAGCTATTCCTTCAGAAATCTAATTGAGAAGAACAACTAGGACTTTATCTGTAGGCGGAAATTAACTAAAGGTAAGTACATTATTAATATCAGTTCGTTAGATTAAATCCTTCCGAATTTAAATATTATGTATAGATCACACTGCGCGACAATAAATTTTTTTCTCACTGCTAACAGCTCCAGTTTTTGAGATATACCGAAGTGCTAGTTTTGTTTTAAGTTGCAATGAAAAACACATTTTATTTTGTGCCTCCAAAAAAATGTATAGTTTTTGTGTATGGATAAGGTCTGACTGATTATGTTGTAAGCTCCAACTGTTGTCAGCCATTATGTGGATGTTCTACCTTTGATATCTCTTCTCCTAAGCTTAGTCCTGGTGCCTTTCTAGATTCTCAATTTCAAGAAATGAAGGATTTTCTCCTAGATCTTTTAAACAATCTTTTAAAAATGCATCCCCAAAAAAATTGTTTCGACCAAAACGAATGCCTCCCTGGTTGTCTTCTTGAATTTATTCAAAGGAATCACTAACCGTGGATTTTAATGAGTTGGCTAATTTGGGGTTCATCGAATACATCAGCTTTTTCTGTCTTGTCTTTTAACGTTGGTCTCTCAATCAATTACATGGTAGGCAGAAGATAAAGCTGTTCTAAGTTGTTCATCCTCAGTAATCACGCGATGTGGTCACCACATTTTGTACAATGTCGTGTGTGACATCGCCGTCTCATGTCCTTAGCTTGTGGTGAAGATATTGCCGCTCGTCCTTATCAAATTTGGCCCAAGATCGATATCCCCCTGTGATTTGGAAGACGCAAAATAGGTGATATGTCCAGATATGACTAGTGTTAGAATAAAGTCACTAGTACAATACTGTGTAATTTTGGTATCGGTACTTTGGTTCGATATTTTACGTAGCGGTATAGATACTTTTCGCCGATTCTACTAAACAAATATCGAGAGATTAAATCAAATTCAAGAAATCAAATGCAATAGCATAGATAAGTAAATATAAGTGCAATAGTGCCTTTGTTGATGGCCATACTTTATTGCCAAATGCCGAAGTACGAACTCGAAGGGTCATTAGCCTCAAAATTTATTGTTCTAAGACCCTCAAAGAATCATGAGTGTCCTTATGCAGTCACTACAATGTTCCTTTTTGGGGTGTGAAGTTTGCTGTATTATACGTCAGAAGTGTTTCACATTCGCTGCAGAGTTGAATGGGATTTTAGCGTTATTATGTTTTATTTGTGTGGTTTTCGTGCTATGTGTTCGTCTGTTCGTCTATTATTTTCCGGTGTTTTTTTGCTACCTCGTTTTTTAATTATTTTGTGCGTTATTAATACGGTTTTAGTATAATTTTCTTGTGAATCGTGTGTTGCTCGTCATTATTATATTAACATTTATTTTTTTAATTACTAAGTTTATTATTTTGTTCATATTTTTATAGGTTAAGGTAGGTTACATTTAGGTTAGATTTCTTTTCATTTAAGAATTTCATATTTATCTCGTTAGTTGGTTCCTACGTTACTTTTAGCTCATATTATAGGTTTCATATTTTAGTTCATATTTTTTTTTTATACATAAGTTATCTTTTAATCATAGCTTAAGTTAGTTTAGGTTTATACTATAGTTCAACCCTTTTCTTTTTTATATTCAATATGAAAAAGCAAAACCAATGTATCCATTGCTTTAAAACTTTTGCTTCCACTAGTTCTCTTTGCTGTCACAACAAGTTAGTACATCACATACAGCCTAAGGAGTACTTTCAAAATTTTGAATGTACATTGTGCCAAAAAATTTTGCATGCTCCTTCCTCATTACAAAGGCACATCAAAACTTTTCATTCTTCCGTTCCTGATACATCTCCCACAGACTCCAAACTCCAATGCACGTATTTTTATGATTCCCGAATTAATCCAGAAACATCCCTTGCACTGCATTCTTATGCTCTACCCTCTTCATTAATTCCTTCCACTACTTCTTATTCATGTACCCTTACTGCTTCACAAACTTCTTACACAACTCTTCCTGCTTTGCCAAATCCTTCTACATCATTTCCTTCTTCACCAATACCAACGACATCCTTCCATTCATATGCTCTTCCTGCTACATCAATCCCTACAACATCCTTCCATTCATATGCTCTTCCTGCTTCACCAATTCCTACAACATCCTTCCACTCGGATGCGCTTCCTGCTTCACCAATTCATATGACAACCGCTAATTCCAATACTGTTTCCTTTATTCGACAACCATCTTCCCCACTACTTTCCCAATCATCCAGATCGCTCACATCTTTTCCAGTGACCCCAACGCGACCCAGACCCCAAGATAATGCTTTGCTGTACTCAGAACATTTTACAGGTATTAAAATATAAGTATTATTTAAATATATTTAATATTACATCCACAAAGTTACCATAATTGTTCATTTATAGGGTTTTCAAGGGTTCTCAGAATTACTTGCCCCATTCAGGATTGCGGGAATGCTTACACACGGTACAGCGCACTACAAAAACATATTGAGTGTCATCATCACATCAATATTGAACACAAAGACAAACTGTTTTCTTCTATTAATGGTTTGTCAACTTTTAATTATGAAGATTTTCAACAAACATTTCTATAATTTCACCTTTTGCTATAGATTTTTACAGCTGGAAAACTGAGATGGAACAGAACAGTATTACGTCATATGTGAAGGACACTGCAGCATACATAACAAAAGACAATTGCTGCACCATTCAATATTATAATTGCCATTGATCACACAGTCACCAAACAAAGGAAACATGTTTAAGGGGTAGCAAAAAAATTGGGCATGCTTGTCCCTCACGAATTATGTGCAAGGTGTATAATGACGGACATGTTGAAGTTGATTACTGGAAGACACATCTGGGACATGAAAATTTGATAAAATATGTGCGGCTGGATTAAAATTTAATCAGAAACATCAAGGGTATAATTAATTTATTTTCATAAATGCTATTGTCACATTGTTGTTAGTTCTTTGTCATTTGTAATATATTTTTTCCAGATCAAATTAAAGCAGGCGTAGATGATGACTTTATTATAAAAAACATACGTGAAGATTGTTATAACAAAAAATTACTGAGACCACTGAGAGCTTCCATAAAAAGGCGGGTGTTACCACCAAATGATACCTTAATAAATAAAAATGATTCAAGAAGTGTAGCCGATTCTTTGCATTCTTTGCATTTAATGCTGGAAATAATTTAATTATCTTCATAATTAACTATTATTGATGTTTGCTTTATTTGCATAATTCATTTAAAGTTATGCCATTCATTCAAGTTATGGAAATGTGTTTCAAATTGTAAATATTAATTATATTAATTATATGTGTTTCAAATTGTAATACATTATATAGCCTTGCCAGTATCATAACACACTGCTTATGTGTGCATTTTTGTATCCAACGACAAATAATTTATTTATGTTAATTAAATGTGATTGGTATTTGCTTTATTTGCATAAATTTATTTATTATACAATGCTTTAACAGTATTATAGAAATAGGTTTTAAATTGTAAATATATGTATATTAATATGTTCTATAATTTCAATAAATTTATTATTATAAATGAATAGTTTTTTTTCTTTTATAAAAAGCAGTATATTTTTGATAAAAAAAAACAATGCTAAAGCTTATGTTAACACATTAATCTTTTATTTGTTGACCAAAATTAGGTTCAATTTTTCAATACCATATGTACTGTTAATTTTATAAAAAGGCTCGAAATAATTTCAAATGCCTGAACAAAATTTTGTGGCACTTACAGAACTCCACCTTATTGATTGAGAATTTAACAAATTTCAGCTATATAAATGCACGTCACAACTATTTCGACAGATTATTATTCACATTTTTATATGACAAGAACTTTTTCAGAAAAAACAGTTGTACGTTTATTTAACTTACTGAATAAAACTTCTTATATAAGTACTACATTTTACCACTTTCAAACTTAATATGATTATTGCTATATACTATGACAGTACTAAATCCTCTACGTAATATTATGATCGTAGAGAAAAATTAAATATATATAATATATTGATATACATTAATATATGAGAGCTGCAATTAAATTGTAACTGTCACATTGACGTCTATGAACTGTCATTATGTACTAGGGTTATTTACACTTTTATATTGGTACACCTGCTTTGTTTGTCACCTCTTCATGAAGTATATTGTCGTGTCAAAAAATGGCCGCCAGTGACTGCATGAGGAACCGTGTCAAAGAATCGGACCATAATAATTAAAGATATTTAGTTCCTCTAACGCTGAATTGTAACGGCTTTTTAAAATTGTGAAGTATTTAAAAACATATTCTCAACAATTATAAAACATTAGTATTTGTTTATGTGAAAACATGTAGATATAATTTTTTCAAATAACTAGTGCAAAGTGGCATATAGCAATTTATCTATGAATAGAGCACCATATTAAACGTTAAATGTCTTAAACATATATTCTTCTTTTATATATGATCTATGAAATTTGAAAAGGCGCGCCACTTGTTAATTAACAAAGTGATCCACAAGTGTCCCATCTTTCTAAAAGCATATTCTATGCTTCAAATGTCAAATAATGAATGTAATGCCCGAGATAATTGAAGTGCAATAGTTGAAATTATATATGATTTTGAAAATGTTTATTGATTAAAGTAGATTATTATTTAGCTTAAGACTATTTTCGTGTATATTTTGTGAGCAATAGCAGTGAGAGTATTTAAAAATGTCAGACGAAATAATTATGTCTATGAACAATCAGGCAATTAAAATTGAACCACCAGAATATTCAGTAGAAGAAATTAAATACGAAATTGAGGATGATTTTGATAATGCTGATGCTATTGTTAAATCTGAATCTAAGAATGATGAAACATGTTTAGAAAGATTCATGAATTCCGAAGTGACCAAAGAAGAAGAAGTCAAACAGGAATTAATCGAGCCATCAGCTTATGAATGTGACATTTGTTATCAATCATTTGAAGAATCACATCATTTAAAAGAGCATATGGTCGATCACTTGCCTAGTAATAGAACAGAAACCCCTTTCAAATGTGAAATCTGTAATAAGACTTTCAAACTAACAAAAGGGTTGAAAATACACATGAATACGCATTCTGCAGAACGTTCTTTTTATTGTAAATTTTGCAATGAGTCATTCAAAGAATCGGTTGCTTTGAAAAAACACTATTTGGTTCACAGCGGTGAACGGGCCTATGAATGCAATATATGCAATAAGAAATTTATAGAAACGGGTACTCTGAAACGTCACATGCTGATTCACAGTGAAGTGCGTCCCCATCAATGCAGTATATGCGATAAAAAATTTACAGAATTAGGTAGTCTTAAACGTCACATGCTGATTCACAGTGGAGCACGCCCTCATCAATGCAGTATATGCAATAAGACATTTACACAAATAAGTCATCTGCAAAGTCACATGCTCTTTCACAGTGGTGAGCAACCCCATCAATGCAGTATATGTAATAAGACATTTACACAAATAAGTCATCTGCAAAGTCACATGCTTGATCACAGAGGTGAGCGTACCCATGAATGCAATATATGCAATAAGACATTCACAGAATTAAGTAATCTGAAACGTCACATGCTCATTCACAATGGAGTACGTCGTCATGAATGCACTATATGCAATAAGACATTTACACAAATAAGTCATCTGAAAAGTCACATGCTCTTTCACAGTGGTGAGCGTACCTATGAATGCAGTATATGCGATAAGAAATTCACACACTTAGGTAATCTGAAACGTCACATGCTCATTCACAAAGGAGAACGTCGCCATGAATGCAGTATATGCAATAAGAAGTTTACAGAATCACGTAGTGTGAAACGTCACATGCTGATTCACAATAGAGCACGTCCTCTTGACTGCAACATTTGTAATCAGACATTCACACAATTAGTTGATCTGGAAAGACACATGCTGATTCACAGTGGTGAGCGTAGTCATGAATGCAATATATGCAATAAGAAATTCACACAATTAGGTAATCTGAAAAATCACATGCTCATTCACGATGGAGTACGTCCCTATGAATGCAGTATATGCAATAAGAAGTTTACAGAAAAAGGTAGTCTGAAATGTCACATGCTGATTCACAGTGGAGTACGCCCTCATCAATGCAGTATATGCAATAAGACATTCACAATGTTAGGTAATATGAAAAGACACATGGCACTTCATAGTCGGAAGCTAGATGAAAAGGAATGAAAAATTATCCTATTTGTTAAATGGAATTCAAATATGTGGAACATGAGGGTTATTTAAAAAGTAACTTTCTCAATTTGCTTTTGAGTGCACAACATGGTTTATTATTATATTATCATACATCATTTGAAAGTTCAATTTTTATTCTATTTTTCAACATAATCGCTTTCTCTGTCAATACATTTTTTGATTCTCTTAATCCAGTTTTGGTAGCTCGCCGCGAAGGGTTCACCTTTTTCCAAACTTAAAGAAACGCTTTCAAGCGACTGACAGTGAAGCCCGTTACGTCGAGCTACCAAAACTGGATTAGGATGATCATAAAACAGAGAAAGTAGTTATGTTGAAGAATAGCAAAAAAGTCGCCATACTGTACACTTGAAAATATAATTGGGAATGTTACTTTTTACATAACCCTTGTAAAATGTTCTTGATTGTACTATAATGTATAAATAGTATAGAATATATACAGTACACATTACATAATATGCATTTATTAATAATCAAGACAATTAACTATTACATATGTCATTTTATAATTTTTTTTGTGTTTTAATTTTTATAAAATCAATATTAACTTATAATTTTTTTTGAATAATATAAAATTAAGGCATCGAGCCCTAAGGCAAATTGCTGGAACTTTCAAAATCGTAATTGAATATTCGAGGTTTGAAAATAATCATAATCAATAAAAATTAATCAAGGATTTAAAATTATTAATAGAATCATTAAAATAAAAATTATTTACAGGCCAAATTACGTACTGAAATGTAATCTTCGGAATTCGTTAGGAAACGGCTGAGCCGTTTCTTTGTAGTTAGCAGAAAAGTGAAAAATTTTAGACCATTAAAAATTATTATCACCAATAATTACACTGCGCGACAAAACTGGCACTTCTTATTTTCCTACTTCAGTTAGAATTGCACGCTGATTTCAAATATACCTTCCGTTTTTTTTTTTTTGTAACAGCATCAGTTTTTCAGTTTTATGGGACTACCCAAATTAGTCATTTCGGCTATGATTATTGCAGTTTAACGACAATCAATAGTGTCAATAATCACTTTGGTACTGAATTGCCCAAGAAAGATAAAACATGGGTTCTTCATACTATGTGAAAAATTGCGTTGTATGTTTACATTATTATCCAGAAGAAAAAAAAAAGATATAATTTTAAAACCTCCGTCATTTAAAAAAAAACTCATAATCGCCACGACGGTTATTTTCCTGTGTAGTAAATATCAATGAAATAAATTCAGGCAATAGAAGCAAATTGTCATAAATAACAACCCCAATGCTATTGATGTCTACTTGTGATCAGCTACACAACCCCTATCCATGCTAATGATAACCTAGAACGTCAACATCTCCTGCCTACCAAAGTATATCGTAGGTGCAGAAACCAATGCTTGAAAGAGAAGAGAGAAAGAATTAAAAACTGATATATTTGATGTAATTGATTTATCACCCACACTCTTATTTAGAACGGTTTTTGAAAAATGTTGGAGATATTAGTGAAGAGCCAGTATGAACAATAATGATCTGACTTCTGTTCCTGTATCATAGAAGTATTTAACTTCCCGAAAGAAATGTTTATATTTTTTGCCAGAAAATGTTTGTTTACAACGATAGGCTGAGCCGATTCCTAGAAATTAGAAAAAGAGTGCTAAAATTTTTGCCCTCGTTTCAAAATCAAGAATTGTTCGGAATATATCCCCCGGACCACTTTTTATTTTTAAAAAATCATAAAAATTTGGAATAAATCTAAATTCTTATTGATTGTGTCGATTATTTACACATATCGGGAAATTCAAGCAAAGCTCCGTAAGGCTTACAACTAATTAGTTAATTTTTTATCAGTTTTATTTTTGCAGCAAAAGTATTGAAAAAGTAATGAATTTTGGTAGCAATATAATAACTATTGAATTTCATATTTTAAACATATTTTTAGAGAGTTTACAATTGGTTATAAAAATTAACAGAGATGATCTTACTGTTAGACGAAAGTTTCATGAAGACAGGTGTTTTGCTAAATGACTCTAGTTGTAATTATTCGAACATACTAATTGAGTCGAAGTCTCTGATCTTTGTTTGGTTTGAGAAATTAATATGTATAATTAGCTATAGTATTTGAGTTTGAAACAAGATTACGGGTTGCTATACTTTGCCTTTTGGTTTTGAAAACAGTCGTTTACGCTCCATTGCTTTGCTAATTTTCGAGACATTTAGCAAACTGCTGAATTAATTTTATTTTTTTAATTTGCACAAAATGACTTAATAAAATGCTAGTTTTCTATTCTATCGCAACACTCTAAAGTTATATTTTTACATTCTTCACCATGTTTTATTCGAAATTAAATTTAGTTGCAAGAAAGTTTTCATGATTATTTTAACTTTTGTTATTTGTGAAATAAGATAAAAATTTGTAAGATTCTATTAATATTTGGACAGGTTAAACCCCCATGGCCCGGAAAAAATACACTTTGAAATAATAATTTTACATTTATCGCGTTGTTTTTTAATGACATTAAATTTCATTGAACATATTTTTCACGATTAATTCGCTTTTAGTGAAATATTTTTTTTTTTATTAATATTTGCTTACGGACGTGTGGGCCCCCCCTGGCCCGGGGGCCCCGTATTTTTGATATGGCTGATACGGCAGTAGTTACGCCCCTGCAGACAGGTAAAGAAATAAAAGATATAAAAAGTACAAAAGTGGCAATATAAATGGGTAACCAAGTAAGAAGATAGGCAGAAATGTTAGAAGTCTGATAGGTAGACTGAGACAGTTCGGCAGATAGGAAGGTAGATATGTAAGGTAATGTAAACAATACCAGATAGACCTAGTTTATTTTTAAGATAACAATGTAAGTGATTCCAATCACAAATCTATGTCAAACCGACGAATCATCTGTACGTTTTGTGGTGTTTTGAAGTTTTCTACTGATTACAGTTTACGTCCACGCTCAAATAATATACATTTTAATTAATTTATTTTTATCAAATTAATTTATACAATTACAATTACAGATATTATGAGTATGTTCTAAATTTAAAGCGATATATCAATTAAAAATAGTTTTTAATGAATAACAAATATCAACACGCATCCCACATAGCACGCGTCGAACCTCAGTCGCACCGCGTTGACACATTTTGAACCCGCTAGGTTAACATCGATCAAAACTGGCACATTATCTGACCGTCAGTGGGTTTAACTAAAATTTGACCTTTTAATTTTTGGTCCAGACTTATGACGCATGCGCAGTATCTAGTGCGCGTACGTAGATCGAGCAAGATGCCAGGTAGATGAGCGCCATTTTAAATTCGTGCTTGGCTTGGTTTATAACGGATTTTGTTGATTTATTTTTCTGAAAGAAACTCCATATAAATATGTCGACTAGAAAATTTCGCAAATCCATTGGCTTTGTGACAGACCGACATTTTAGAAGGAGGGTGAATTGGGAATTCGAAAGAATAACCGCGGAAAAAAAGAAAGAATTAACTCTTTCTAGTGTAAATGACAGTGATGTCCATCGTGTTGAAATTTCAACAAGTGCCAGTACTCAGAATGATTTTGGAATGCAATTTAATGATCATCACGCTCAAGGTAATTATAAATTAAATTTTATCTAATTATTTAAGAGTAAAGATAATATAAAAATATGTAAATATTTTAGTTTTAGCATGTAATCAGAATAATTTTGGAGCGACATCTTCTCATGAACATGAGAATCTAGGTAATTATGAATTTAATTATATATAATTATTTATAAATCGGAGAATCGGAAACTGAAATATATATTAATTTTTAAAACATCATTATTATTATAATAATAATGATGTTTTAAAGATCAATATATATTTCAGTTTCCGATTCTGAGGATAGCCTTAATGGAGAAGTTATACCAGAAGTCTTCGATGTAAAACAATTTTTAGCAGAATGGGCGTTACATATCAGGTTCTTCATAATGCTGTATCGGCACTGCTTTTAAAAAAGCATGATTGTTTTAAAGATATACCAACAGACTCTCGGACAATTTTAAAGACAAGAAGGATAGAAGTATCGAAAGTTATGAACCCAGGAGAATATATTCATTTTGGACTGTTAACTGGTTCAAACCCAGAGACGTGAACGTAAAAGAATTCACCACAGCAGTGGAGAGAAAGTTGAGATATTAGAGCATAGTATTTTACCTAAGGTACCGTGTGTTACCAACAACACACCAATGATTTATGGACAGCGTAGAAGTAAGTGAAAATATTAAATAAATTCAGTTTTTAATTGATACTAATTTATCTGAAAATACATTTTAGGTATTCAAACTTCACCATCGATACAGTACACACCTAGACCTGCTGCCAAAAGATTGATGTTTAATAGTCGTAAGTATTGTAATGAAAACTCTTAATAATAAATTTAAGAATTAATATAGTTGCATACTTTCCGTGCGTATTTGTAATAAATAATCCATATAGTTATAAATATTGAATGAACTAAAACTGCAATTCCATATGTAACATATTTATTAAATAGTATTTTATTTACACTACTAAAAATAACTAAATTAAACTAACTTAACCAACAATGATTTAGCATTGGTGATCATTGTCTTGAAACTTATCATTATCTTATTATCTAGTATTATTAAATTCAAACTAATTATTTCATTTTTTATTTTAATTATTTTCATTGTCATTATTCACATTGGGTTCATCACCACCTTCTAAAGCACTGGAAAGAACAAATTTTGAATTATTATAAACTATAGTTTTACAGGTTTATTTTATATAATAAGAAATGTTAATTGACATTTTGGAAATATCTGGAATATATTTCAATTTACGTAGCATTCCGGACAAATCTGTCATGGTCATGACACAGCCATCCTTCGACACACTGTTCAACTTGGCTCTGCGTCACACGCTGATGTTGTTCAGATACAATATCTGAAAACATTATTGGTTCAATATTTGTTTAAATAATAAATAGTTTAAAGTAAGTC